AGGGAAGACTTTAACTCACCATTAGAGAGTCCACCAAACAGGAGAAAAAAAACATGCATCAGACTCAGAGAATCAGGCTAATGAACATTCAACTCGCTGTTTCTGTAGTATTCTTTCCACAAATATATATATGGGGGTGTGCATGTCCCCAATAAAAGACAATTCGTATCTCAATAGAAGGGGGTGACATGATTCGATTTTAGAGTGGAATGATTCTATTCGGTTCGACTTAATATGGTACAGCTCAGTTTGAGAGGATATGACGCACTGAGTTTCTTGTTGTCATTCTGTACACTTGGATCTTTAAAATCCTTTTTTTTTTGTTACATACACACACACACACACACACACACACACACACACACACACACACACGCACCTATGCTGCATTGATTGCATCGCATTGCGAAGCTAGGATCAGTTTACGTTTCTCATCGCGGAAATTTAATTTGGATCTATGGAAGCTCTCAGTTTCCTGGCCTGATTGCTGGGAAGTTCTCGCTTCATTTCACCTCTCCGTTGAGGCGGTGCTGTATAAATAGGCACACTTAAAATAGTGTTTGTCTCTCAGAGGAGCTTCTCAAGAGAGGACCAATGACCAAATTTCCAACAATGAGATATAGGCCAGACTGTTACTGTGCTCGGATTGGATATGTGGAATCCCTTCACTTTTGAAGTAGAGTGTTATTTTATGACTTAAACTGTCTCAAAAATCTTTTTTTTGGGTAAGAATTTTTCCTCCTGCTGACGAACCTTCGATTTGTTTATGATCCATTTACTCCTACAGCCCTCATTTGCTCTGAGTGTGCCTGTGTGTGTGTGTGTGTGTGTGTGTGTGTGTGTGTGTGTGTGTGTGTGTGTGTGTGCGCGCGCGAATGACAGCTTTGATAGTTTGTGTGTGAGCCGACAAACTTCATCCCCTGCCTGAGTTCTCGAGTTGTCCCAATTATGTTGTTCACGAACAGACATGTTTTCCCTGCAGACATTTGTGTTTTCAAGGTGCTAATGAATCATGACTACTTTTCCTTCCATAACTGTGAGAAAATAAGTTGCCACTCATCAGGTCGAACCTCTGCTATCCAGCAAAATTGTTGGACAGTATTTGGAACATTCACTGTTTGATCACATTTGGAAATACACCATCCCCCAACTGTTAAAATGATCTCTACCTGGGTACATCATGACGATAATTTCATTGTGATCTTGGGGCATTAGCCACTAAACTAGTTGTGCACCCATTATCAAGACATTATCAGTTGAGGTTTCCATTTCACATTCCACTTAGCGAGCAGCCACAGATGCACAACTGTCTTCTCCTCATCATATTATGGCATACAGTCTTTGCCTCACCATTCGATATCTCTTTTTGGTGAGTTTGGTAAATAAAATGCAGGTGCACAGCTATAGATAGTGGCACCTCAAATTATCCTTAAAGGGGAACTAAACTCAAACAGAACCAGAATGTGAAAATGCATGCACCAGTACTGGTCAAAACACAGTACAGTACATTGATTAATGTTGTGTTTGTGGAATAAGAAACACCGATCCTGAGCTCCCTGTTGTTTTGATGCGAGCACGTAAGTACTGAATAAACAATATCGGGGTATGTTCCTCAGTGACTCAAGTGATCGTTGCACTGCCAGGTTACATGCGCTGCTTAACTGGCAGAAAGGGGCAAAAGGAAATGAGACAACTCATGGTGGAGTAAAATGGCAGCTGAAAAGAATCCAACCCAAATGGCAGTTTTTTTGTGTGTCCCTTGAGTGGTGAAGCACTTCAAGCAGTAAGGACTTGCTTGCAATTGTCATCTGATTAAAACCTAATCTATTTTTACATCTCCAGGCAGTCAAAGTCCTCTTTCAAATAGAGTACTTTAAGGACAAGATGCTTGTGAATCAAAAAAAAGGTATTCGATTGAACTGATGAAGGTGTTTGATACGTTCGAAAAGCTTTCCTCCAAAACACGTTTTGTCAACATTTCGAGGAAAATAAATTGCCATGGTAGTATGAATATTGAATACATGAGACAGTTAATTTGGCACGGATGATAGTATCCCCTGAGGTCCTCAGTTTGACGGCACATTGTCAACATCAAACTATCTTTTTCGATTGAAAATCAAATATCAAAGAGTTGTCAAAACAACGAGGACCTTCCATAATGAATGGTTCCGGATTTAGTCTTATTAGTGCATTTAAATGAAGTTAATTTGTAGGCCAAGGTGAAAGATCTCATTATCCTTCATCATTAGAGGTCTAGTCTAAGATGTGGATCCCTACTTCTTGCAGTCTCAATGGCAATTAAGGTAGCTAATGTAGGGAAATCAACCCGTCATCTCAACATTTTTGAAGTTTATGAAAAACATGAATCTGCTACGTAGATGTCCCACAGACTAGCGACCAATCCGTGGTATCCCGCGTTGCCAAAAGTCCATTGCGATAGGTACTCACACATGACCCTTAACATGCTAAGTGGTTAAAAAACAAAAGTTATTTTAAATAAAACAAAAAATCGATGGTGCGTGGATGTTTCCCATTGCACTCATTTCTCCCATTTGTCTTTAATTGTCACCCACTTGCCCAACATTTTCTCCCTTCCAGACAAGCGCATCTGTCCGTTCAAAAAAAGTTGATGTGGGGATTCATTCTGTTTAGATGAAAGCCATCAGACACAGACAGACCCTTCATAACATGCAGCGCTATGTCCGCTGACTGAAGGACACATTGCTCACATTTCAAATGGAGAATTCAATGGAAAAGTTTGCTTCAGCTTTGGCTTTCTGGCTCATGAGTGAATGAGTTTTTATTGACAGGATTCTACCCGGAGAATACTTTTTTCTTTTATATCAACTACATGTGAATACTAAAAAGCTGATAGTGAACTGAAACGCTGTAGAATAAATTGACAGAAAATGTAGAATGAATGGGAGACTTTAAAAAATGAAAACAAAATAATGGTGAATTATGGTTTAAACATAACACTGTATTTGTTGGTGGTATGCAAATCTCAGTTTCTTTGGTAAATGTCAAGCTGACAATTGACGTTGCTCCCCGTGATGTTATTCAGTGTTACCAGCCATTAGTATCTGAGCACCCTATATTTAGCAGTCGTTCCAATTCCCAACTCACAGTGCAATAATTAATTCAATTAAATGGCATATGAGTGTATGCTACCAATTATAATCAATTGTGCATATTCATTACATTTCAAAGCTTTGCTAGACACCATTTTATAGACTATTATGGTGATTAATTATTATTCGTATGCTTGACAAAAGGATTGCAAGAAAAAAAAGCTGGTAAAGCTGTGTTGCTAGTGGTTTTCAGAACATTCTCTGCCACGAGTAACTGTATCTAAAAAGCTAAGAAAAAAAATTATACTGCATGACAAATCCCCTTCTTCCTCCTCCTCCTCGTCCTCCTCCTCCTCCTCCTCCTCCTCATTGTGAAGTCACACAGGCCTCAATGCAATCAGGCCAAGTGACGGAATGAATGCCAGTCTACATTTGATTCTGTAAAGTTCCGGAATAATCCAGAACAGAGGTGGATCTCACAAATGTAGACCGAGATGAAAATAATCTTACGGAGAAAAAAAAAATGCATAAAACCGACAAAGTACAAATCAGATCCCTTCACGAACAAAGCCTGAAGAATACGTAACATCCAAAGAAATCATGAAAATTGCTTGTCACCAAAAGAAAAGAAAAATCCAATTGTGAGAAAGAATAAGCAACACAAAATTAACAAGAACACTACGAACAACAAAAGACAAACCACTGCATGGACATAACAGCATGAGCAAGACTCGACCATCTAGACAATAAGCATGGACGGCAACCAAGGCAAATAATCCGATGGTAAATTGTCAGTGTGGCAGTCCTGAAGTAGTCCACTGATGGTAACACGTGACAGGTGAAGGAAAACGTCAGAGGAAAACGCCTTCAACTCCCGCCCGAAACAGAAACCAAAAGCAAACAGGAACATGACAGACTCTCACATATGCGGAACAAGGAGAGAAACACATTTATTTTAAATGACTGTCACATTATTGGGAGGGGAAAGAAAAATAATTTCAAGCAAACTTCTGGTTCAGTTTTAGTTGCCATGGCAGAAGGTCAGCAAATACAACCATCAATCAGTAAAACTTTTGCATCTTTTTTTTTAATGAGCTGTGTGTGTGAAACTTGCAAAATGCATGTCAGCGGGTGGTATAACCACAATGTTTTTGTTGTATGTATGACAATTTGTGCAATATTTCCATCCATCAATCCATCCATATTCTATAGAGCTTATTGATGTCAAAGCTAATGCTTGGTTTTCTCTTAAATTCAGTGTAAGATGCCTTCCTTCAAATGTGGATATCAAAATTCTTGTCTCCTTATGCAACATGACCTTTTGAGGGCCAACTCGGTCCCCTGTGAGTTTGCGCTATTTTAACCTGGGATTTCCTACGAGCTAGTGTAATGTGTGGGCGACTTTTTTTTTTCAGATGAGATGTGCAGGGTCATGTGTGGATGCGTGGGAGCAACAGGACGCTGTTGGGTTCTAAGTGTACCCACTCATGCACAATATCCGAAATTGCGATTCAGAGGACTCTAACCAGACCAGATCTGGAACAGTTCTCATTTTATTTAAACACAATCATATCTTAGTAAAATTCCTAATCTATGTCAATCATTAATTAATATAGAAAATGGTTAAGGCGTTATTTGTACAGTAAAGAAAAAAAAACCCATCTTATTCCACTAGTCTACAGCCAGATGAATCCGCTTGTACGAGTCCTTAACGCCATCTAGCGGTTACTTAATTTGGCTGCTACACAGAATTAGTCTGCTACATTTTAATTTCAAATGTCTTATTTTTTTCAGAAAAAATCACCACAGAATGTAAATATATGAAATAAAACGCATATATTTTTAAAACTATCTGCTGTGTAATTTACCTATGAAGATGAGTGAATTGAATTTCAACAGCAAATCCCAGGAGACAGTTACCATGACAACAGTTACACAGAAACCCGCCGAAGCCTTGCTTGTTTTCTCTTATTCCTGATTTTCTCGATATTTTTCTCTTGTTGCAAAAGTTAAGGAGTTTCTTCATCGTACAGCAGGTTGGATTCAAATCATTTTGAAGCAATGTTGTGCCGTAGTGTTCAACCGTGTGAGCGTTGTGTCGTGTGATTTAATGCCAACGAGTAGCGTAATCGAAATGTGACCAAGATAACGCCACTGAACAGCTTTCTGAGCATCATCTCCAGCGATTTAATGCGTTGATGATTTAGTAAATGTTTGGTTAATCATACATTTTTCATTTGTCAAATTAGGCGGATCTTTTCCGATTCATGAAAATCATTTTTTCTGTTTTTTTAACAGATTTTGTTCAACTACATCCATCTGAATTATTATTATTAGTCGTAGTAGCAGTAGAAGAAGCAGTCATTGTAGTAATATTATTAGCATAACCCCCGAATATTTGCATGGATTCTGTTTCTTGAATTTGAGATTTAGTTTGATAATGTTTAAGCTGTATAAAAAGAATTCTGTCTTTCCAAAACAATTTATTAATGACAGCAATGTATGCATTGTCTTCCCTAGGTTCCCCTGGTGGGATTCAATAATAATTTTTTTTTTCACAAACTCCAGTGGGCAATAATGCATCAAAATGGGATATTTTGCTAACAGTTTTTAACAACAGTTTGCTAAAATTTTAGAAGCCCTTAGCTTAGTTTGATGCAGTTTCATTTCTAGCCTTGTACAAACTATTTAATCATTCTTTTTCTGTACTGCTTATCCTCACTAGATCACCGGTGAGCTGGACCCTATCCCAGCTGACCTTGGGCGAGAGACTGGGTACACCCTGGACCAGTCGCCAACCAATAGCCGATATTGCTAAATTATAATCAGTTTAAAATATCTGTGGCTACATGCCATCGTCACAATTCAGTAAGTTTTGGGCAAAACATTTAATATTGAATTCACAACAAAAGCACATTACATTTTTTTTCAATAGCAGAAGTTGCTGAGATTTCCTCAGACAGTCTCGTATCGGAACAGAACAGTGTCACCAAATTCAGCAAAGCAGGTACACTGGTGTATGTGTCTTGTGCTTCACGCAGAAAAATAAATACTAAAAATGTTTGTCCAGATATTTTCTGCACTGTATTGTATGTCTGTAGATGTGAGGAGGAGAAGGATGAGGAAGGAGACATTAAACTTACCAGATGGGAAAAGCATTCTTCTCCAAAGTTCGGTTGAAAAAGATGACCGACAAAAGGTGTGTGTCTGTTCGTGCATACAAATGTTCAGTTTTATACCTTGTTACTTATCTTGTTCTCCATGCACAGGAGATGCGCAACTTCCTGCCTCTCCCACTTCACGAGAAGAAAAATGACTCTGCTCGAATGATGGCTGAGCAGAGGAAAGAGCTTTTCAGGCAGCTGAAGGAGGAGGAAGAAGAGGAGCAGGAAAAAGACAAAGTGAAGACGCTGAGGCAAGCCAAGAGGAAGCCAACACTCCAAATACAAACACCCGCAAGACATGAGCTGAAGACTGCTTTGTTGAAACAAAGTAAGTGGAAACCGATTAGAAATGACAACTTTACTACATCTTCACAACTCACATTTTAATTCATTTACTTATGTGTCTTATTTATTCCTAGCAAACATGGTGAGAGAATGTAAACATGACTTAATCTCCATGGAGCGGCAGAAGGCAGTGTTGGAGGTAAATAAATGCAGGAATTACACTTATAGTTTGATCAGAGCTACAGTGGCAGCGATGATAGCATCCCCCCTCCCACCTCCCCTTTTCCTCAGATATCGCTGATGACAAAAAGATCGGAGATTTGCAAGATGAACAAAGCTATCACCAAAGAGGAGAGACGCCTGAAGGAGTTGGAGGAGGTCATTGAGAAGGACAATGAGAGCTTTGCGGCGTTCCTGAGGGAGAATGAGAAGAAGTCTTTGGAGGCCCAAACATTGTAAAAACAATCAAGATACACGACTATTCACAAAAAGTTAGGGTTAGGTGAAATTGCAGGATGGACCTAAAATGCACGATAACCTTTATAGGCAAACTGAAATTGACTGTTGATGACTGAAGGTTGTTTCTGTTGTCAGTTTTGAACGAGAGGCTAAGTCCAAAGAGGAGAAAACTGCTGAGATCCAGAAGTTGACTTCTGAAATATCAACAATAAGAAGGTGCCCCTTTTTTGCTGTATATTGAAAAAACAACAACAACTCGGTGCGATTATGGTAGTATGAAAATATATGCATCTAAATCAAGTCTTCTCTGATTAGTGAAGTTGGCAACTATGAAGAAATCCTCCAAGAGTACAAGAGATACAGAGAGCTTCTCTTTCAGCTGTCTCCTCCAGAGTGGCAGGAGGCCCAGAGGGCAAAGCTTCTCAACAATGTCCACCTGGATAAGAATCCTGAGGAGGACTCAACTTTCAAGCAAAGTAAAAAAAATACCTTCCCGGACGCTCTCAACGATGCGACCAAAGTACAAATTAAATAGGTGACTACAGCAACATCATTATTGCAGTTTCTTTTGTTTGTTTGTTTTTTGTACTATTGTGCACACAGAACAGGAAAGCAACATTGCAGGTGCCCAGCCCAGACAGTTCTCTGCAGAGAGCGCCAGGTCTTCACCACACGCAGTGTTCTACATACCATTACTTCTAAATATTTGTGATTTTATTTTTTTTTTTTTAATAAACATTCTTTCCTAAATATTTTCTTTAGGACTACAAAACGGTATGAAGCAGATAGCGACTGTACAGAGATTGAGGTCAGTTTTATTGAAATTAACTGTGGTTTACTGTTCTACTCATTTACAATGTTGCATCCATGCAGGATAATCCGGAGTTGTACTTCACTGATCCCAAGCAACTTATTGAGCTGATGACAGAGCTAACTGAGCAGAACTTGTCGTTGATCAAGAACTCTACGAGGGCGGAGGAGACACTGGAGGAGCTCACAAAGTCTATGGAGGAAGTCAGGAAGAGGACGTAAGCATAAGCATTCTGGTTATTGGTCTAAAAAGCTTCCCATTGATTACAGCCTTATCTTTATCTTAAAAGATATTTCACATTTTAAAATAGTTTCCAGGTGTCTGAATATCAATTCTGTCACATTATTTCATCAAACTACAAGAATTAAGAAATGTATTTCCTTACTTGCAAAACCTATCCAGAATTTTTACCACCCCGAGCGAGTGGACCCATATCCCGCCCACACAGACACTGTTAGCTAACGCTAATCTCTGCTAACACTGCAACTTCAATAACGTACTTCTTGGTTTGGACATGATGTTGCTTCTGACACTGCTTCAAAGCAGCACTTACACCACAGGTGTCAAAGTCAAGGCCCGAGATCCACATCCGGCCCACCACATCATTTTATGTGGCCCGCGAAAGCAGTTCATTTGTCAACTTCCATGATACTAACTAACAATCTGTACCGAAATGTCAAATTGTCACGTGTAATAAATAACCTTGAGCTTTTACAATAATTTTGTTACCCTGTTAACACTCACTCAAACAATAATTGAACAAAATATACAGTAGTTGATTTGACTAATTTCAAAACTGGTAATCTATCAATTTGTTGTGTACAAGTAATAATATGTAAACATTTATTTAGTTTCACTGCTGTAACGGCCCACCGAGGGAAGACGTAAGTCCAAAGTGGCCCGCGACAAAAATGAGTTTGACACCCCTGACTTACACATTGTGGAAATTTTGGCCAGCTTATCCGCCAAACCATTGGCTGAGAAACACTGTGCGCTTTTCTTTTATAATAGAAATTAGCTGCACTGTCACAGAAAAGCAGAATGTTTCAGTCATTCACACATTTTTAGAAATGTGATGATGGCAAACGATTTACTTGGTACTTTATTTTCACTTTTGCTTGCTGGGCAGGCACTCCAGAGATCCAACTATTTGTGTACCGGTATATATTTAATGGCGAAGTGAAGACACAAATATTCTTTACAACATGCTCTGTAGCCCCACTAGTCTAAACATGGCATTCTGATTGTTATTGCATTTGTGGAATATGAATTATGCAGTAAATCCACCCATTTTTATCCATGGATAAAAATTTGTGCATCTTGCTGCTTAATAATTTTATGAAGGGAATGCCATCCCTTACGAAAAAGTAGTATGTGTGAAGTATACTCGTATATAAGTATATAAAGTATACCTTTTCATCCTAAATCAGAACAAATTAAGTTAATAAAGTTAGAGTATACTCTTTCTGTCTGTATACCTTTCAGTACAAGCCAAGCATACTTCTGCGAAGTTTATAAAAATATAATACTGTATTTTCAAAGTACACTTATATAGTATACTGCCTCCAATTTAGTATAAAAAGTTTACTTATACAGTAGTATACGTGAATAAACTACTTTCTGCTAAGGGGTGTTTAGGCTGGTGGGGGCTTCTAGAGCATATTGGTGTAAATAACATTTATGCCTTGACTTCAACCTTAAAAGTCAATTTTATGTAATATGTCCCTCTTTAAGTGAAAAGGAGAAGGAACTTCTGACCCGGCAAATAGACGACATGAACAAGCAAATTGAGGAAGAGAAAACAAGAGCATCAAAGCTGAAAAAGAAGGTTCAGCTCCATGTCTTGCTGAACACAGAAGCTGAGGTGAGGAAATGGAACGTATTTTTTGCCGCATTTTGTGGGATGTAGAGTCAGAAATCAAGGGACATTTCACCACAAAAGAAAAAAACTTTTGTTCTGACTAATCTTAGCGCTATTTTTTTGGCAAAACTGAGTTCATTGTTCTCACAAGTCTTTTGCTTCATCTGGGACCTTGTTTAGTACAGCTCACTCTACACCCAGGAAAACGAGTATTAATGCAATGCCGTATTCTGGACAGTCTTTCAGTTTTGTGCTCTTTTTATGTCCAAGATGTTCATAAGGCCTTAAAAAATCTAAATCTTAAAAAAACCTTCAGAAACACTTTTTTTAGATCATTACTTCTTCAAGTTTCCTGCTGATTTCATACCAAAGCCAATTGCACATATTTTATTGGGTTTTTCTTTTAATGTAAAAAAGCGTCTTTTGACCTGATTTGGACGATGGTGATCTTTTATACATGTATGCCTCTGCACAGTCTATCTCCATCCAATTCATACTTCTTACCATGCATCCCTGAGCTTCATTACGAATTGTAAAGCTCTGAATCACTATTGTGAGTGGCACACTCAGGTTGGATGGCCTTTGTTGGTGACCCGCAGCCTCATTCACGAGCACACCTTCATAAGGCAATCCTTGGGCAGCCTCCCCCCATATCTTTGTGTTTTTATCAGGCAGAGAAATACCAAACAGTATTTACTGGACAGAAATTGGGAGACTCCAGACCTTGAGCTTGGAATCTCCTGCAGAATGACTTAAAGCTCAAGGAACTCGTGTCAGGTTTTGCGGAAGGTTCCGGACACAATTGGACTACAGAAACGGGAAATCCGAACGAATTGACAGAAACAAAGGTTACAAGACCGACAAAGCTCAACAAAGGACGCTGGACACACAGGGAACAGTTAACAACCAAAAATGCTTGCAAAAGGCAAAGGGGTGCGGGGTGGAGCAGAATATAAATGGAAGGTTACATTTCTTGGATCTGCCCGCTTTATCGCAGGATGACATGATGAACGCGCTTGGGGAGAAGGTCTCAGAAGTGTACAGGTGCTGTGTGGGTGATGGGTCGAGCAGCCATAGTACCTTGGAGAAGCTGGCCAGCATTGAGAAGCAGATGTCTTTACTGCTGCACTGCCTTGAGGACATCCCCAAAGCAAGTTTGGAAACGATGCAAAAGATCAAAGACAGCGAGAGGAGGACCAGGTATGTCTTTTGTAACCGTGATCTGCAGCCATGCCTTGAACAAAATATAGATATATAGATATAGTCTAGAAATTTACATTAAGTCAACTTGTTATTGTCACGACTTGAAGACATTACACACAATCATGTTTTTTGGGTTAAATTATGTTTTTCTGAGGCAACGTGAAGAAAAGTTGAGATTGCAAAGAGAAAAACAAATAGAAAGGATGAAGAGGTACTTGGAGAGGTCCCTTTCTGACACCAAGAAAACAGTAAGTCATTTGAATTTTGCCATTCATCTTTTTTTTTTCTTTTTCACTAGTTATACCTTAACACATATTGTTTCAGTGGAATTATTGTGGAGTCATCCTTTGCTTCATCGCAGTTCACTTTTTGCGGGCTCAGTGCATCTTGGATTTTTTTTTTTCATTTTACTTATATTGCGGATTATTCGCTATGTCACGGGACTTTGTGGTGATCAGTTTTCCACACCAACTGTTACTGCAGACGAACATAACAACAAGTGCGAGCCAGGTGGAAAAAAGTGTGTAAAAGACAGAGATCATCCAAAGTTTGGGAACATTTCACACATGATGAAAGAATCTTAACGTGCCAATTGCTATGGATTAAGGCAGTGTTTTTCAACCCGTGTGCCGCGAGACATTGTCAGGTGTGCCGCGGGAAAATATCCAATTTGCAGGGATGTGTTCCTCGAGCCGGTCCTTGGCCTCGAGGACCGGCTCGAGGACCAAAGGTCGGTCCTTGGTCCTTGGCCTTGGCCTTGGAAGTCAATTCCTTGGCCTTGGCCTCGGCCTTGGGAGTCAAGTCCTTGGCCTTGGCCTTGGGTTGCCGGTCCTCGGACACAATGAAAGATTAGAGCCTCAAATCTCTTGTCCACAAGTATAAAGTGGATCCGAGGACCGCAAAAATCACGAAGGAATCAAATAAATTCCATCCGTAGAAACCCATATTGATGGATTAAGCTGGTGCTTTAAAAGGGGCGGGTCTGCCACTGACGGGCGACAGTTAGCGCAATGAAAAAAAGAGCGGCATCACAGTTAGTTTCAATCACGGTTTGTTCCGTTCGCGATCGGCAGTTTAAATAGCGTGTAAAGTCTTTCTGTAACAGTGGTGTCTTTTATGTAATTATTTGTGCACAGTCGTCACGTTTCTGCGGTGGCACTATAATGTTTGTTTGAACCAAGTAATTTGCGTTACAGCTGGAGTCAATAATGCCGGCACTTCACTTCCGGGTTTGGCCGTTTGGGATTTGGAGTCCTTTTGCTCGATTCCAGTTATGTTTTTGGTGAATGCTTTCTCATGTTTGGAATAATGAATATTGATAATACATAGTTTAAAATCATGGTTGATTTATTATTTTTATTATTATTGTTAAGTTGAAGGTATTAAATTAATTAATGTAGTATTAGTGGGAGTGGTAATAATAGTAGTACTCAGAGAATGTTTAGAGATCAGCCATCTCGTTACCTCTGCGTCCCGCGTCCGAGACGCAAAATTAACCCACAGGACGCACAGTTCCAAACAATGTGCGTGTTTGGGACGCAAGGAAATTTCTCAGTCAAAACAAACAAACAAAAAAAAAAAAAAA